ATTAAAAACAAAAGAAAAAAAAAAGAGATCTCGCACTGTGACCCTGGTGACATATATATATATATATATATATATATATATATATATATATATATATATATATATATATATATATATATATATATATATTATATATATCTGTGTGTGTGTGTGTTAGCAGAGGTAAAACTTACATCTGGTTATGTTCTCTAGTGCTGAAGCTACACAATTATGGTCTTGCTCTGCTGAAGACTGATCTGAATGAGAGTTCAGTTCTGTCTGACATCATTTTGTAGGCATTCTGGGACCATTTGAATATGCAAACATGCCAAAAAACAAAGTAGATTTATTTATTTGTAGTGTTAAATAGTATTATCCATAATTTTTAAGAAAAATTACAATGTTTAACATTTTCACACCTTCACATCTAAGAAATAATATTTAATTAACACTGACATATTAGATGGATTCAGGAGTTTAAATAATTCTGATCTTTCATGCCTGATTAATGCTGCTGATTATTTGATCGAGGTTTATATTCTAAAAATGAACAAACTTTAAAACTAGCTTCACCTTCTTGTTCTTGGAAATAGTCATTTAGCTTTTTGTTAGGTGGAAAGAAAATGTATTTTTTTTTATATATCAAAATGTATTTTTGAATTATGGATTAGATGAGTAGCTCTGTTTTTATATCAGTTAGCTTCCCTCATAGCAGCTGTTAGAGCTTCAAACTAGTAAAGGCAACAGTTGTTTTGTCTTAAATAAAAAATAAATAAAAAAAATAAAAAAAAACAGACCTAATTACCATGTCTCACTATAAATAACACAAAATAACATCTATTTGAAAATACCTCAGACTGGTCTAAATGGAACAGTCTTCTTTTACATCTCATTTACATCTCGGTAGAGGTTCTCATTCATAGCAACAGATGAAACTGTTCACTGTAGGACATTGATGCTGGGACTGATGTATGCCTTCCATTCACCACGAATGTCAATATTTGGATATGAAATCACTCTCTGCAATGTCATTTATCAGTCATGGAATTGGAAAGAGTTTTTAAATTTTGTTATCATTGAACACTCAAACCTTCTGTTTAATTTATTTGAAAATACAACCGGCACTTTTTAGTAAATTGAATGTAATTTTATTTTTCTAAAACCTGTTTGTTTTTTCTTTAACAGACATACTGTGTAACTTGTAGCCACTACAGGCCCTAGACCTGTAATTCCAGGTTTACTGTCCCTGAAAGAAGGTGGTATGACTGCATGGTCGCAGTGTACCGGTTTTTTTAAATTAGATAACATCTCACTTTGGCCCATTCATTTGTTGACAGAGAGAAGATGTCACAGTTAAACAGGAGTTAGAGATTATATTAAAAAAGTGTATTTATCAGTGGATATATCCAAACAAGACTGCATTATCTCCCTCTCCCTTAGACTTTCAAAAACAATCTGAATCACTTAAGTTGCTTCATGTACTCTAAAGACACACATTCCCTATTCCTTAATCTGTGCCCACAATAAACACCTTACAGTAACTAAGCTGGACCCTACATCTGGCCCAGAACCCTCTTTGTCTATTCACAGGTTTCCTGGTACCAGAGTGAGTTTGTTATTTCACAGATGTCTGCAGCTGTGTGTCTAATTATTTTCAGGAGACTGTGTCGCATGAGTTTTCTCCGAGCTCTCTGGCTTCCTCCCACAGTTAAAAAAACGGCATGTGAGGTTGATTGTACATTCTAAATTTCCTTTATGAGTGCATGTAAGTGTGGGTGGTTGTTTGTGTTATGTATGCCTTTCATTCACCACAAATGTCAATATTTGGATATGAAAATACTCTCCCCAATGTCATTTATCAGTCATTGAATAATCAAACCTTCTGTTTATTTATTTTTTTTTAAACGCAACCGGTTCTTTTTAGTAAATTGAATGTAATTTTGTTTTTAAAACCTGTTTGTCTTTTCTTTAACAGCAACACTGTAACGTATAGCCACTACAGGCCCTAGACCTGTAATTCCAGGTTTACTGTCCCTGAAAAAAGGTGGCAAGACTGCATGGTCCAATCAGACCAAGCTTAATTTTTGGCTTAAACAGCAGTGAGTTGAACATGCCCTTTACTCTTAAAGACAGTCTTCTTGTGAAAACTGGTAGTTTTTAACATATACTGACTGATGTGGGGGAAAGAAGAATGTGGCTAAAAAAGGCAACAGTGGCATTGGGGTTTAGGAGTTTGCCCTGCAATTGGAGGGTTGTTGGTTTGTGCCCTGGCTCCGGCTTTCAGTGTTGTTGTGTCCTTGGGCAAGACACTCCACCTGCATTGCCTACTGAGGGTGGCGGTCTCCCTGATACTGGCTTAGACTTCGCCCTCTGGATTATCCTGCCTTCCTTTATCTGCTTGGATTTGATCTCCTGCCTTTTCTTCAGACGTTCAATGCCTGGGACGCTCTGGGCAGCGCTCAACCCATCTTGCTGACAGTGGATTAGTTGGAATCTACCTCGCTCTCTGGCCACTGACTGAACTTTAAGACCAGGTTAGTAACTCACAGGTTCATAATCTTCCTCCACCAGATTGACTTGGTCACTAACCTGTATTTTCTTCCTGCAGAGGTTCCTGTCTTAGGTGCTCACTGCAGATCCATTCTTTTTGAATAAACTTTATTTTTCTTTTTTTTTTTATATCATACAGTGTAACTGTCTGAATACTGGGTTCTCTCTTTTGAGTCTTGAAAGAATAATCTGGCAAAACATGAACCCATCGACAGGCACAAAATAGAGTTCAGATGTAGAAGAACCTACAACTAAGTTCGAATCAGGTATACAGGAATCCTGAACAATTTTAGTAATCAGGCTACCCCCGCACTTTCACTTACAACAGCTTTCGCTTCTACATCACCTGCTGTCAAAACTGTAGGTCGGGAGCCGCATCTGTCACCCCCTGAACTGTTTAAGGGCGATACGGCATAGTGTCTGGATTTTCTCACTTAATATGAAATTCAAATCGAGCTTCAGCCTTCGGTATACCCTTCTGATAGAACCAGGGTAAGCTATGTTATCTTGCTTCCAGTCGGCAACACGAAGCGTGGGGAATGTCTGAATGGCAGAAAAACCCTAGTTTATGTAGCTGTTACAGTGGCTTTTTGCAATAACTGATCAAACTTTTCTGCCCAGTTCTTTCCAATAGGGAGGCTTCAAGATGACTCCTGTCACTTAGATAGGGAGATCGCTCTGTGCCAGAGTATATTATAAACTTCCCCCTGTTAGCTTCCAAGAGTTCCTGGAATGAGGAAGCCCTCATAGACGTGTTTATTACTGGGCTAAACGAAAAGATAAAAGATTAACTTTCCACCTGCGACTGCCTTCAGAATCTAAAACAGCTGAAGGACCTGGCTACCCAGATTGATCTTTGTCTCTTGGAACTTTGCAAAGAGCGAAGAGCCTTACCATCACTGAACCCTAGTCCAAATGACGCCTGGTTGTAACATCCAGTTTAATCAGTAGCTGTTATTTGCAAAATTCTAAAATAAAAAAAACAAATTAGGTCTTTTTACGCTGTTTTGTGTTTTGTGTGTTTTTTTTTTTTTAAATGCCAAGAGAATTTGTCTTTTTTATGGGAGAATTATCCTGCCATAATGCAAAAGCACATAATTTCAATTTGAGAAAAGAATTTTATCTTCTTGCACTCACAACTTATAATGCTCACACTCAAAACATGTACTCAGAAAATTTTGACCATTGTCTACTTAAAAAAATTAAGGCAACAAAGTGACACTTAATATAATTGAATAGATTTTAATTACTTCAACTTTGATTAAAAACCATTGATTTAATTAAACAAATTTAAACAAAAATTTTAAATACAAAATAATGAAATCATTGGTTGAAATACTTTGGATTTACTTATAATATGGCAAATGTTGAGTAAATCCAAATCAACTATACAGGGAAAATTGATTAATATTTACTATGTATCCGAAAGAAAGTGATTTAGATATACCAAATATTTGTGAAAAAGTGATTTAGATTTACTAATTTATTATGTGGAATTAAATAATATTTATTAATTATGTGGATGAAATAGATTTCTATTTACTAAATATCTGGATAATATTGATTTATATTTAATAATTATATGCGTGAAAATGATTCTATCTGTCTAAATATCTGGATACAAATGATTTAGATTAAATAAATAAAATAAGCTACATCAACTCATAACCTGGAACAATGTTACTTAATTCAACACATTTAAACTGAAATTGTTATTTATTTTTACATAACTTAATTGTTCAAATGAACTTATAATTGGTACCACATTACTTAAAATCTATTTAATGTTATTGATTGTCACTTTGTTGCCATATATTTTTTATGTAGAATCTACTCAATATAATGTGTTCTTTGCAAGAATTTACAGAAGGGCAGTTAACAAATGACCATATTTAGAACAACAGCAGGTAAACATTTATTTGTGCAACTTCGTTTACACATATATTCTGAACATTTTTCGTGTAAAATGCCAAAATACAAAGAAATCCTGGTGTACACAACAGAATTACAACAAGCCCCTCAAATGAGTATGGCAAAATATATTTAACAAAGGCACTTGCTATTTGAGGCAGGCCAATTGAACAGGTAGGCTCCTCAGATCAGTGTCAGATCAGTACAGCTTGTGCTCACAATTACCAGGGTCACAAAACAGAGGTAAAGACCCAGCAGAATACTGTCCATCTTCATAATATAGCTGTGGATTGCTGTTGCAAGAACAAACAGAAGAATTATGAAAAACAAGAGGAGTGTCTTTTTTTGCCTCTGTGAAAGTGGATTGTGTCACTGGCATCCATGTCCTAAGGTGGGGGCAAAGTGTTCATAGTCCATCTAGAAACTCTGTGTTATCAAGACACAACTGTCACTGTCCTAGTTATAGTGCAGCATTATCATTTACTTGTTACTTCTGGAACACCAAGCTACAAAAAACATCATCCCCTTCAGATGAGTATGGATAACATTATTTTTTAACAAAACTTGAACACTTAAATCACTTGAACACACAGAATAACTGAGCACACCAGTGTATTTAGGCTCCCTTTCTTAAGCCAGTAGCTTGCTCTTGAGGCTGTTCACTTTTGGAGAAAGCTTTGAACAGTCCAGCTCCAGGAAGAGTTTCTGAAAGGCTTCGAAAGTGTACCTGAGCTCCTTGGGATAAGCAAGATTCACTGCATACGTCAAACCAACAAGCATGGCACAAGCTCTTGGAAAGTTACCCAGAGCGGTCAGAACCTTTGTACCATCTATCACGATTCCGATGTCCTCTGTACCCTCTGACAGATTACTCTGGATGCTGTAAATTTTCATCCTTTGTACAGCAAGGTCCTGTGCCACACTGTCTTCATCTGCATCCTAAAATAATGAGAACATTTTGTATTTTAGACTGTGCAGCTAAAGGAGATGGTCCTTAATAAATAGAGATTGAAAGAGTTATGCATTTCAACTTACATCATACTCTTTAAAGAGCTGATCGGCAGATTCCCCAAGGTACAACATCAGACACCGGATGACAATGTCTCTGGTTATGTTGATGTTAGGATTGCTAGGAGCCTGAAATGAAAACGAAAAACACATAAATTAATATTACTCAAGGTCAAGGTGCAGTTTTTAACACTAAGGGCCGGATCTATCAAAGGTTTGCGTGTATAAAAACGTGAGCTATTTCACTGCGCACGCTAAAAAATGTACAAACTGATCTATCAACAGCGTGCTAAAAGGATTTGGTCTTTAAAACGTGCTAAATAGCGCCTCTTATCCATTTAGTACTTTTTCTGCAATGAATATGCAATATGGGGCGTTTACACGCAAAAGTGCGTCTTGTGGGAGGAGAACATGTAAATATATTAATTTAGCACTCGCAAAGTGATTTATCAAACCTGAAAGCAATTTTGCTAACGGTATCTGACTCTATATTTAACACGTTTCAAAAGAAGGTGCAAATGGTCTGTATGCGTAATTGCGCACACATGGCAGCGGTTATTGTCGCAAGAAGGAGACATCGAAATGAAGCAAGGAGACGCAGAGAACGCATTTTTTCACTCCGTGTGAATATTTTTGGAATGAACGAGGAAACGATCATCAAAACATATCGTTTATCCAGCATTGCCATTTTGGAGCTGTTGGGGGAACTCCGAATGGATTTGGAGCCAGCCACAAGGAGGACCCACGCAATACCAGATATCACAAAACTCCTTGCAACATTGCACTTTTTTGCATCTGGGTCATTCCAGCGTACGGTTGCAGCGAGAGCTGGGATCTCCCAATCTAGTTTTTCAGAAGTGCTGTCCGACGTTCTAAATGCCATGTCGCCCTGACGCCCTACCGGAGAACCCCGACCTCCCCCCTGCGCCTGTGGAGCAACATGCCAATGCTGCGGGAGTCATCTTATCCACAGTCACTTCTTGTGAGCCATTTGGTAAATGCATTTTTCTACAGGCCAATACAAAACACCTGTTTTTTTTTTTTTTTTTTTACTGCAGTGAAGTAGAAATTCAGCCACATACCACCTTAGGGAATAAAGGTTGCCAAAGTTGTTTTATATATATATATATATATATATATATATATATATATATATATATATATATATATATATATATATATATATATATATATATATATATATGGGTACCGCTGGTCGTACCCTCAAATTTACAGTAGAAGAAAAGAAGCAATATTGTTATAACTCCATTTTAACATTTAAAGGAGAAGTTCACTTTTTAACACTTTAAGCCCATTTTCTGTAGTGTCCAGGATGAAATCGAATGATCGACACCAAACTTTTGACAATTGGTCCTGTCTCTGCTTTTTGGCTCATGCAGAATCACCCCCTGGCTGCTTTAGAATGGCTTCCATAGAGCATGTCCGATAATGTCCTTAAAACAACCTTAAACATTGTTTTTTTAAAATATGCTACTCACCGGGTCGTCAGCGCTGTTTAATGACGTTCCAAAAAAAGTTTCGTAAAGAAAAACCGTTCCTGTAGTGTTTTATTTAGCATTTTGTAAATCCCATTGAGTTCTGTTGGAATAGTCAATATTCCCCTGCCACCGGAAACGGAAATGGGGCCTGTTTACACAGTTGTAGTCTTTTCGCTTCACTCTGTGTACTCCGACGTCGAGGTGCTAACGTCTCTGTTAAACTCTGAAAATGGAATACGAAAGGTGGATTCTTGATTCTCGACGTCGGAGTACACAGAGTGAAGCGAAAAGACTACAACTGTGTAAACAGGCCCCATTTCCGTTTCCGGTGGCAGGGGAATATTGACTATTCCTACAGAACTCAATGGGATTTACAAAATGCTAAATAAAACACTACAGGAACGGTTTTTCTTTACGAAACTTTTTTTGGAACGTCATTGAACAGCGCTGACAACCCGGTGAGTAGCATATTTTAAAAAAAGAACGTTTAAGGTTGTTTTAAGGACATTATCGGACATGCTCTATGGAAGCCATTCTGGAGCAGCCAGGGGGTGATTCTAAATGAGCCAAAAAGCAGAGACAGGACCAATTGTCAAAAGTTTGGTGTCGATCATTCGATTTCATCCTGGACACTACAGAAAATGGGCTTAAAGTGTTAAAAAGTGAACTTCTCCTTTAAGCTGCTAGAAAATAGGAGTGAGTGACAGCTGGTGCCTAAAGAGTCAGACATTTACATTTATCCAGAATGTATCAGGTAAGAGCAGAGTAATGTAAAACATACAGTATATAGAACACATTATTTATAATCTATGTATTAAAATGAAAACATTTGGCCTGAGCTATGGTCACATTTTTGAGAATGTGTCCAATTCGGTAGCCATACAAACTGCTGTAAGATATGCACTTATTTAATACACGAGGACGCAAACACGAACACATCACTCCAGTCCTCAGGTCCCTTCATTGGCTGCCCATCCAACACAGAATACATTACATACTTTGCCTCCTCACTCACCAGTGCATACATGGAACTGCCCCTGCTTACCTCAAGGAACTCCTCACACCTCACACCGCCTCTAGAACCCTCCGCTCCACCACCTCCACCCACCGACTGCACCAGCCAAGAGTCAAGCTCTGCACAATGGGAGATAGGGCCTTCCAAGCAGTTGCCCCACAACTCTGGAATGGCCTCCCAGAGTCCCTTAGGGTCCCACAGAGTGTGGAGGCGTTCAAGAAAGGCCTCAAGACATTTTTATTTAAAATGGCCTTTGAACATTAGTTAGTTCTTTATCTGTGTGGTTTTATGGTTATTTTACTGTTTTGTTTTTACTTTGTATGTTATTTTATTGTAATGTCTCGTTTTAACTATGTATGCTGTTTTTATTGTACGGTTTTGTTTTAACTATGAATTTTGTAGCACTTTGAGATTTTGTTGAAATGTAAAGTGCAATACAAATAAAATGTATTATTATTATTATTACATTTTCATAGACAGTCACAGGCTAACATTCCCCCCTGCAGATTTAATATAAATATAGATTAAAAAAACATAATATGGCCAAACTTAGGATACCTTCAGTAGGATAGTCTGCAACCTTAATCCCATGGTCCCACCCTTTGAGTGGAAGAGGTTCAGAAGCCTGGGAGAGTATTCATCCAGCTTGGACATGAACTTCGATTCCAGGTGCACCGTTGTAATTCTGTGAAACTCATCCTCGATCTAAAAGACAAATTATGTAACCTGTAAACTATATTTGAAAATATGTGAAACATAATTTATGAAATGACAGTCACTTAACACATTTTGTATAAAATAGCTATCCCCTCAAAATTGCAAAGGAATGCTTCTGATTGCAATACACTTGTAACTCACATTAGATGCCTCGAATAGAGCTGGCCATCTGGCTTTGATGTCCTCTATGGCAGGTGATTGGTTAACGATATCATTTCTTCGGTGTGCAAATGTTTTGGCCATCTTTTCTTTGATCAATTTGTTGTTGTCTCTTTTCCTTACTTCAGTCAGCAACTGAATCCTTTCCTGTTCTTGACTTTCCTCATCCTCTCCTGCTGGGTAAGGTGGGAGGTAGTTTACTTCTGCTTTTCGAGGCTTTTTCACATTCTTTGCAGATTTTTGGTCCCCAGGGCTCTTGCGTTTGAAGGCATTGCACATCACCTCAGGAACTCCGTAGCCTCTGAGTTTGGTACGATAATTTGCCATCTTGTATTTGAAGCGTTGTTGCCAGCCATAGTAGCCTGAGAAGGAGCCAGGTTCCTTCAGACAAGGATATTTATTGACAAGTGCCTCAGCAACATCACATCTGTGCACTTGATGGATAAGCTGTATACATATATATAGTTTCAGCCAGCTTCTCCAATATGTCTGCTTTGACCTTTGAGGCAGTCAGAAGTGTTCCATTCTTTCTGTGGTCTTCATCGGCTCTTTCAAGGCACATCTCAGTCTCATATGCAAACTGTGGAATGGGAAACTGCTTTGGCCATTGCTGACATCGTTCAGTGGTGCTTCTCTGTCTAGGCAGGATAATAGTGTCCGTTGAAGATGATGTTCCAGCAGATGACTCTGTATTTGATGCAGAAGACTCTGCATAAGATACGGAGTCACAGTCTGTTGACTGTTGACCAAAAGAAATGTCCAAACTTCCTTCAACTTGCTGCAAGTTAAGAATAATCGGAGCAGCATAGACAACCTTTACCGTGTCTTTGTGTTTAATTTGGTCAGTTTTATGCAGTGTAAAGTAATCTTCAAATTCTGAGTCCAAATACTGAAGACTGAACTCCTCAGAAATTCCAAATTTCTCTTTCACAATAGTTTGCAGCTCCTCCACAGTCGGTGGGATTCCTGATTGAAGGACCAACTTCTCAATTCGGTCGCCAATGATTACTCGCAATTTTTCCTCCATCTCCCCGGCCTGATAAGAATATTCACAGACAGAAGCAGACAGTTAGACTACACATACAGTAAATACTACAATGAAGAGCCTAGACGTGCCACCAGAAAAAAAAGAAACAAAACAAACTCAGAGACTATTAATGACAACTGAAATACACTTGAATTTTCAACTAAATATTCTATTTCCTTATTCTGTCATCACATGATAAATCACTAAAATTAAAAATCAATGGAACTCTGATAATTTTTTGTGTGTTGCCATGGATGTAATTAGTTATGTGTCTAATGTTGATTAATGCTGCTATCATACTGTATGTGTTAGACCACTTTCAGTTTTATGAATTAAAAGTTGAAAAAAATATACAAAATCTTTTAAAAAGTATTTTTGCATTTCATTTTAACACTATAAACTATTCAAATATGACAATAAATAATTATTATATTCCCAATTCATTTAACTTTTAAATTAATCAATTTATATGGGTTTTTTAAAGTTATATTTTAGATATGGACACCAAACAAGTTAAAAATTATTATTATTATTACCTGAATGATGAAATCACAACAATATATATGTAAGCCATAATTATAACTTTCATATAATTACTCAAAAGAAATTAAAATTCCAGTTGCATGAACCAGAATACAGATAACATTATGTATGTACAGATGTATGGTTCAATATAATTTACCTAAAACGGAAAACAGATGTGACGTTTGAGTGTAACCAAGCATTTTCCTCCCACACTGTACGCAGCCAAGGGGTAGACATCACCAAGTTTCTGCTGCTCCCAAAGTGCCATTTTCCCAGTGTCCTCCAACTGAAAAGACCTTAGATGCTCTTCATACCAGGCAGCCAGTAACTTTACAATGAAGTGTACGCAGTTGTCCAAAATAGCAATCTGAATAATCTCAGCAAAATCAGGAAGTCCACCTGTAGAGCCATAGGACAGGATCATCCCAACATTGTACCTTGTTCCATAACAGGTGACAGTCTTGGCTAACAGCACAACAGACAGAAGTGGTGATGTTTCTCTTAAGAGTCCCTGTATGTCTGGATGCAGCACATTTAAAGGCACCTCAGATATTTTAGTAACACACAGTGCCTGCTTTCCACCATCTGTTTGCAGGTGATATGCCATCATCATCTGGTGTCATGTCGAAAGGGTCAACAAGACATTCCTGAAATTGTTAGTGTGCCTCGCAACCTTCTTAAAAAAGCTGTGTTTTGCTTCGAAGCGCATTGTCCACACACCAACCAGAGGTCCATATTCTTCAATTAATGTGGGGTAGTGCTCCAAAAAATGGTGTTTTGGTGTCAGTGTCTCTTCTGGAAAAACTGCCAAAAGTCTGTCACGATGTTCAGATATTTTAGAGTCAAGATATGCAATAGTTTCAAGTGTATGAACAGGAGCAACCACCAGTTCAACTATGTCTTTTAAAGTCAGAAGAACCTGCCAAGCACAATCACCCTCAGGTATCAGTGAACCAACAATGAGTGGCAACAAACGTATTAGGGCCCAGTTTTCATGAGCATTTCCCCCTATAGATTTGCGAGGGATGTAATTTTGAGGGATTTCCTGAGGGCTATTGGTTTTGTCTGAGCCCTTATAGGGGAAACATTTAATTAACTCATTAAGTTGAGTTAAATTAAAGTATTTTTTTCTAGTGAAAACCTGAATACACAATGCTAGTTCCCTTGGAACAATCCCTTCAAAAACATCATGAAGTACATCTGGTGGGTATCCAGAGACAAAGTGAAAATGAGTCAATTTGTTGGTCAATGGACACGACCGCTTTGCACCAAAGAAATGTGTTAAACTGGGATTTTCTTTAACAGTGTGTACATGCAAACTATAGTCCTCCTTTGTACGGGGTGGAAATGCTCCACCTCGCACTTCATGTGTCTGGTACTTGGAAGAATGTCCAAGACAAAACCTACACGTGTATGGCCCTGTGAAACTTTCAACTAGTCCACTGATTGAATGTGCCCCTAGATTATCAGCTGAAACACAGTGTACTGTCCCTTTAATACTTTTTCCAGCGCTAGGAATGAAAACTCCTTCTTTTTCTAGAGTGACAAGATCTTTTAATAGTGGTTCCAAAACTACTTTGTATTCAAACTCTTTGACATCAACAGCTTTGCAAAGTAAAGCTAGGTGTATTGACGTTAATTCAGATTGCAATTCAATTGGCAAATTTGTCAAAATCCAATAAATGGCTGTAATTTTATGTTTTTTCCTTGAGGTCCCTAGAGGGCTACACACCTCAAAGGATTATTGAGAGTCGTGTTTCTTCTCCAGCATAAAAATCATTTTGTCTGTAAAATTTGCCATCAAAAATTGACTTAATATATCCAGTGCTGTTTGAACACCATTCCGTCTGCAACGTCTTTATTCTTTACAATTTCCTGCAGAGTTTTGAGAATGGGCACATACTGAAAGGTCTTGTTCTTTTGAAAATCCAGAATATATTCAACAGGGTCAACACACTGGAAATGCTCTTTAAAATATCTTCTTCTCTTAAAAGCTGTGCTAAGAGGACCACCTGCCCCTAGTGCTGTACTAATGGGATGGAAGTTGCACAGTTGTTCTGCCAAGTCACATATGAATGCCTGGTCTACAGTGCATTTATTTGATCTAAATGTTGAATCGAGTGTATTTCTTACAACGGCAACAGATGCTGCAGATGAAATGAAGTGAAGGTCTTCAACCCAGGCATCAATGCACCTCACAGATGCATTGCATATACTTTCTAGCTTCAGCAGAAGCAAAGCAATTCTTTTCAGAACTAGGTATGATGCACATTCGGGATCACCATCTAGACTAGTTCCCTCATCAGCACTGGCTTCTGGTAAATCAGAGAGGTCAGCTGTCTGATCATAGTGTCTTTCATACACAGCTTGCTTAAAATCACTCAAAGAATAGGGTTGGTGTCTTCTGCTTTTGTGTTTTAGAAATGTATTGTAAATATTTGTCCGAAAACTGCACCCTTCAAATACACAAAAGACAGTTTCATGGCCTTTCAGATGATTTCCAATATGTTGAAAGAAATCCTTCTCAGTAGAACAACTAGCATCACAAACTAAACACTTGAAAGTGGAGATATATGGCTGTAGACTTTCCTTAGAGGTATGGTACCTGGACAAATGTGTGCGAAGAGCACTCTGCGTTTTGAATGTGCAAGGGCAACCACTATAGGGACATGGCTGAGATTGCCCGTGACCAAATGTTGTGTGCTCTAGTCTGTAATGCTTTAGTAGGTTCCCTTTTGTAGCAGACAAAGACTTGCAGATCTTACACTGCCATCCCATCAGCTAAAACCTAAATAAGAAAAAAAGGAACTATTAACTTGTATACAGTATAACTGTATAAAGAGTAACCTACTTCAATAATAGTGCTAATAATTATATGGTTTTATGGTATTATAGAAATACTGCATATCTAAGAAAAATATTCTCTATATTTAATGCTGCTTTCATTTCAAATTCAAGTTTTAACTTCGGGTTAAACTGTATCAAATTTGCGTAGCCAGCAAAAGTTGATAAAAACATGATTTTTATATAAGTTATCAACATTGTGTTGCAAAACAGAGAATGAACCTTTACACAATATACTGTATGTGAAGTAGTTCTGTAGAGTAGTATAACAGCATGTACTTAGTAAGTGCAATACATACCTGCGGTCTATAAGTGTTGACAGATAAGTGTTGGTAGATTCTTTATACACCTAGAAAAAATTGCATAGCTTTAATTCATTTGGATGAAATAATATTTTAAGCACAAACTCAGAAGAAGGAATATATGAAATTCAGCCAAACAAGCAACAAAAGTTTACACTTGCTTTTGTACGTACAGTTAGATCCATAATTATTAGATTAACAGACTTGACTGTGATAGACTGTCTCACAGTCATATACACAACAAGATCATTTGTTACATATACATACACATATATATACACACATACATACATATATATATACATACATATATATATACATACATATATATATACAAACATACATACATACATATATATACATACATACATATACATATATATATACATACATATACATATATACATACATACATATATATATATTAGTGCTGTCAAAATTATCGCGTTATTAACGCGTTAACGCGAGGCCATTTTAACGGCGATAATTTTTTTAACGTGAGATTAACGCTATGTGGTTTTATGGTACAATTTTTCCAAGTACATCCCGCTGCAGCCTGCGGGAAGGCGGGGCTATTTTCCCCCAGTCTATGCATTTCTCATAGGCTTCTAGAGCGGAGCTCCTCAAGGGAAAAAGACGCTCATA